ACAAATAATCACTTTTAATCTTAGTAATCACACTGTATTATATATATTATTGGCTCAAATTCTATTTAATCTCATCAGTCAACTTATCTAATCACAAACTAATCACAAAATTGAAGATTTCCGCCCATATGTCTAAGAGAATTATACAGGTTTCCAAATATACTAGTTAATGCGTAGTATTGTGTGTCCGGAGCTTATGTGAGTGATCATCATACATTTCAATCAGACAAACGGAATTCATCACGTGATAATAAAGATCATTTACTTTCGTAAAATTAGAGCGTCCTCCACTACGCTCAGGACAAATAAAAATATTACTGATTAAATATATGATTGATAGACAATCTAGAATCTCTGAAATTTCCCACTATTGTTATCACAAAATCAGTGGGGTCACACTTTTTTGCAAACCACAATAAATAAATTGCATCTTAATCAGTCACACTACTGATCGAACATGGCATCAGATGAATATTATACTTAGCAGAAATAAACGCAATATGACTATACGAAAAAATTCTAATAAAGAATTGTACAGTACATCTATAATCACATTATGAATATCCGTAACACTGAGTACTATGTATTAGGTAATGCAGACGCTCAGCACAAAATTTATTTGTGATACATATGTACGTGAATTAAAAAATTTTTTAATATAAACCACTAGTGAGCATGTACGTGCGTACATACATATGCACATACTAAAAATACATTTCAAAATTTTTGCCTGCTAAAGATAACATCAATAACGAAGAGCATAAAATATTACCATTGGTTGTTTGAGATACATGTATTGAGAATATTTATAGATTATTATAGCTTTTATAATGACCGATAATGTGAATCTTATACTGATGTTTTTTATTTTATATTTATAGGGATACATTAAACGACAACGAAAGATTTAATTCAATTATTCGATTAGAACTTGTGAAAGAATATTTAGAAAAAGCACAAGTTATAGTTAAAAAGGGAAGACTACAAGACCGAGATGAACACTTAATGCATATTCAAATGAGTAAAGAACTCAATCCTAAAGAAAAAAAATTTTGCCTTGAATATTTAAGAGAACTCATTGCCGAAGAGAATTTTTCTCACCGTGTTCAATTCACGCAAGATCCTAGAAGCAAAAAATATTATATTAGGATTTACAATTATGAAATGAAAATTGTAAAAAAAATTAATAGATGTGTGCGATGCAGTTCTAAACAATCTGAAGACAAATACTGCTTTTGTGTTGTTTTATATCTGTTAAATAATTTGAAATCGTCTGACAACGAATTTATTGATAAACTTATTCAAAATTTTTATATGAGTCAAGATTTAAAAAGTTCAACATTAGAAAATATCATTGAATGGGTTCCATACGAATGCTTGAAGGATGTTAAATATGTTGCAAAGGGTGGGTTCGGATCGCTGTATTCTGCAACATGGATTAATGGGTGGGTGGCTGGTTTGAACGAGAAGAGTCGACAAATTATAAGAACTGGTCCAAAAACTGTTGCCTTAAAATTAATAAATGGTTTAAATGAACAAAATAATGATCTTATCGAAGAGGTAGGCCATGAATTTAATATATTATTATATCCAATTTTTTATGTATTTGTTTATAAATTTGTACTTTACATAATTTTATAGGTAATATCTCGCATAAAGTCATTATCTCAAGTATCGTATGGAATCAAATGTCATGGATTGACAAAATTTCCAGAAAAAGGAAAGCTCGCATTGCTTTTGGATTATATGGACAATGGAGATATTAACGCCTTTTTAAAATGTAAAGATAATAATTTGACTTGGAAAGATAGATTTACTATACTTAAAGAAACATTTTGGCAACTTAGTCAAATTCATAATAACAAAATGGTACATAAAGATCTTCACCCTGGTAACATTTTATCTAATTCGCAAGGATGGTTTATTGGTGACTTGGGATTTAATGGTCCTTTAGATGAAGGTGTAAAAAATCAGGTTATTGGAGTGTTGCCATTCATCGCACCAGAAATATTATGTAAATCAGAGTATACGCAAGCATCAGATATTTATAGTATGGGAATGATAATGTGGCAGCTTGTAGCTAGATGCTATCCATTCTGTAATCGTAAATATGATATTCATCTTGCAAAAGATATTTGTAATGGGCTTCGACCAGAAATTACTTCAGATATACCTCGAGATTATCAAAAAATTATGAAGAGTTGTTGGGATGCTGATACAGCAGAAAGACCAACAGCAGAAGCGCTTTTCCAACATTTTAGTACAGACCTTGAAAAAATGTCATGTAGTAAACATGTAATTCCAGAATTAGAAATCATGTTCAGCAGGTCTCATTTTCATGTGCCTAACGAAACTATAAGTGTCATTCATGAGTTTGTCAATTTACCTGAACCTAAAAATGAAACAACTTTGGGTAAGTTTTAAATTTGCTTAATAACTTTTAAGTAATACCCTATGCACTAATTACCTATATTATAAGGTTAAATGCATGGTTTAATCATGAATATGCCTCACGCAAGATAATTTCCTCTTCAATTTTGCGATAATATCCTAATATCCTCTTTCAATTTTGCGATAATATCCTCTCTCAATTTTGCGATAATATTCTCTCCTAATTTAGTAAAAAAAATTTATCAAAAATACTTTAGAGAAACCTTAAATTTTGTAATAACATCACTACAAAATTGTCTAAATTGTCATCGCGACAATATTTCGATTTATATTCTTGCTTTATAATTAAGATTCCATTTAATATTGTACTTAAATTGTGCAACAATCATATATAGATCGTATAGAAATTATATATATCACATTGTATAAAGTTGTAATGATTTTTTAATTGAAACTTATAATAATATTGTTTTGTGAGTTTATCATGATCTCTTAACAAATCTATTTTATATGAAATTGGTTATTTTTATTTGAAGCACAAATAAGTTATAAGGGTAGGTTTGTGAAAAAAATAAAATAGGTATTAAAGCAGATAAAATTTTTTAATCGTTTAACTATTTAGTCAGAATTAAATAATCCTGGTTCATGACAACAAAATTCAGCACGAAACAATGTAAACGATTAGATAATTCTTTAATCCTTATACAGTGCGAACAACCTAGTCCCAACAAATGAAACTTTTTAGCGACAAATTTAAAATTTATTCTTTATATATATGGTACAGACAAATTTGAACCTTTTAACTTTAAATAGCCGAATTATTAATTTATCTTGAGCGGCCAAATTGCTTGTTTAATTATAAAAATTGCCTTGATTTAAATAAATTTAAAAAAAATTTGACCACGATGTTTAGCTTGAATGGTTTTAATTTTCTATGAAAGATTTTTTGTTTATTGTTTTTTGCAAACAAGGATTAGTATTTTAAGGTTAGTCAAATTATTTTTCAGGACTAGGTTGTCTTCATTGTAACAGAATTTATCAAATATAATTTCAAGGTTATAAATGCATATATGTAATTTATGATGTCCTTTTTTTTCGGAATATTACTGGTCGCCTAGATTACAGTGTCAATTCTACTCGAAATAATGTCACTAACTCGTACTATGAAAAATTTTCTGCGAGATTGCGCACAGTTGCACGAGTTACCCATTACTACCCTGGAGCATTATTTCATGACGATACGTTTACATTTAAATGCATTACTTTTTTTAACAAACTTATTGCATAATATTTTTTACTATTTACTCTCTTCACCTTCTTTTTAACCAACAATGCTAGTGATTAAAAAACAAAACGTAAGAATTCTGAATTAATTTGAATTTATTTAAGCAATAATTAAAAAAAGCTGTATAAATATATAAAATTAAACTAAAAAATAAATTATTGCACATCTTGTTTCAACTTGATATGATTTTAATTTCAATTTACAACATTAACAGTTCAATTACAAATTATTTAGAAATTACTTATGTATATAATGTTTAAATTTTACTTGTAAAATAAACATCATAGTATATAATAAGATCACATGCTTGTGGCCTGCTTTATTATTGGTGCCCAAATCTATCTAAGCTAAAGTCTTGTTATACACTATAGTCTAATTCTATTATTGTTTTATATATATCTCTAAAAGGCACTAATTCTTACTTAGGCCATTTTATTTTGGTGCCGTTCGCTCTCAATAAAATACCCTTATTTGTTAAAATTGCTGTGACAAAATTAATGACTACCAAACAAAATGAACAAACAACCATTAACAACACAGTTATTGAAAAAGACTTGGAGGACAGCTACGATTATGATGAACCAAAGCTGTGGTTTCCATGGGTGGATTTAGAAACTTACCTACAGAAATATATTCAGATTGTATATTGTCTAAAATTGAACGTCAAAAAATACTATGCAGTGAACTACATAATGCTGAAGTCGATTACCAACTACCACAGATGAAGCAATATTTTTTTACGAGCCATGTCAAAGTAACAAAAGGAGTTTGACAAAATCATTCATAACATTTCTTATTACACCTTTGCTATTTTACGCCCATTGATAACATTTAGAAAATACTCTATAATTCAAAGCCAGATGATGAGAATATAGAAGCAAGAGCAGGGTACGAGCTACTACAAAAAGCAAATCACAATGCAAGAGAATTGCTACAAGATGCTTTGTCATACGCTAATAATTACAGAAGGGACATCGTACTTAAAGCTATATCACTATCATACACCACCACTCAGGATAAAAAAGGAATTTTTGGCAACAAACTCAAAGGCTTGGTTGAAGAAGAAAACACAAGTCAAACTATATAATAATGCTAATAAGAAGCGACATAGATTCCTGGCACCCATACAATCACAAGGGTTTTCTAATAACAGAAATCAAAACACCACTTACTGTGCTTAGGGTGGAAGACGCCATACATATGACAAAACTGTTAGAATACCAGAGCCCATACAAGGAAATTTTCAAATGGACAATCACTGAACCCCAAGAACCTGATAAACATCCAGATTCCTGGATGTTTAAGGGAATTTAAATACAAATGGTTAAAAACATTCAGCAATTCATAGCCCACCTCAATTATATCAAACAGTTATTCTCCAGAATGGAGTTCAAAACCCCCATTAAGAATTCACTAACAGAAACGTTTTATGAAATTTTCAACAGATCTAGAGATTACAAAGAATGAGATACAAGCCTTATAGGACACGCAAGCAATTGAAAAGTTTCCAAAAAATTCACCATGCTTCTTATTGGACCTAATTATACTGGACAAGAAAAATAGAAAGAAGTGCACCATGTTAGACTTAAGATCACTAAATATATTCATAAAATACAAACATTTTAAAATGGAATCCATACTTACAGTAAAACACCTCATTAGGAAAAACGACTACATAGTGTCAATAGACATAAAAGATGTATTCTTTCATGTGCCATTACATCCTTCTGCCAAAAAATATTTAGTATTTGATTTTTTAGGACAAAGGTATTGCTTCAAATGTCTACCTTTGGATTAACATCTAGCCCATGAATTTTCACAAAAATAATGTGTCCAGTTTTGAAGACACTGAAATCTCAAAGCATTCGAGTAGTAGCATACTTGGACGACCTAATAGTTATGGTGAAGGAGAAGGATCAAATACTAGCACATCTCAACAAAACATTAGACATGTTAAACAGCTTGGGCTTTGTAATAAACACACAAAAGAGTCAACTCGAATACACACAGGCTATAGATTACCTAGGCTTCAGGTTAAACTCAAGAGAAATGACTCTATCACTTCCAAAGGAAAAAATAAAGCAACTGAAAAGAGAATGTGCATTAGTAGTACAAATAAAGACAATAAAGGTTAGGAAATTAGCATCCCTAATCAGGAAACTATTGGCTACAACAAATGCAGTACTCCCGGCCCAGTTAAAGTCAAGAAAACTGATAAGGCTGAAAAATCGGACAATAAGAGCAAAAGGCTGGAATGCCTCTTTAGAAATATCAGAAAAAGCAGTAGAACAACTGAAGTGGTGGACAAGTCAGTTGAGAAATTAGAATGGACAGTCACTAAAGTCAAACATACCATCAACAGTAATATATACCAATGCATCACAGCTCGGTTGGAAGGCCAGTCGAAAAGGAAACTTGATAAATGAACTATGGTCAAGCACAGAACAGAGGTTATACATCAATGTTCTAGAAATGAAAGGATTCAATTTGCACTAATATCATTCAGGGATCTGTTGAAAAAATCAGTAATAATAAGAACAAACAACACAACTTGTGTAGCGTACATCAATTATCAAAGGGGCATGATCTCCCCAGAGATCAGTTCGATAGCAAAGCAAATCTGGGAGAATTGTCTTCAGAAAAATATTAATCTGACGGCACAACACATATTGGGTACAGACAACACACTAGCAGACTATACCTTACACCTGAAATACAACAAACACAATTGGATGCTGAAGCCTGATGTTCTCAACAATTAAACAACCTGTAGGGACCCTTCGACATAGACTTGTTTGCGAACAGATTGAACACACAGATACAAACTTACATATCCTGGTTCCCAGACCTAACGTCAATAGCAATAGATGCGTTCACCCAGAAATGGGCACTAATAAAATGTTATGCCAATCCCCATGGACATTGATTCTAAGAATATTGGCCAAAGACACAGAAAGAACGAGCAACAATATGTGTTATGATACTCCTTTGAACATCAGCAGTATGGTTCCCGATGATGACCAAATTAATAATAGATTTACCACGAGTGCTACTACTCAAGAACTTGATACTTCTGAGACCCATATCAGAACACTTACTACATCACAATATTCTATGGAAAATGTGTGCATGACTTATCTCCGAGAACACCTTGAAAAAGAAAGGAGTTTCAGAGAAAGCTATCGAAGTATCATGCAAATCGCTGGACCAAAACTCCACTACCACTGTTTTATCTAACTTATGAATATGGACCTTATGGTGTTCAAAAAATAGAAAAGATCTCATTTGTTGCCCTATAACAGATATCATGAAATTTCTCACAGAAAAGGCTAGGGAAGGAAAGTCATATAATACGATTGCAGCATATAGATCAGCAATAAATGAAGCACATGCATGGTCTGAAAGTCTACCAATAGGAAAAAATAAAGACATCGCAAAATTAATGTTGAGTATTTTCAGGATAAACCCACCAAAGAAACCAGAAGATGAAATTTACGACATTACACCATCATTAGATTATATAGTCGCTTTAGAAAACAATGAAGATTTACCATTAGTAGTAATAGCAAAAAAGACAGCCTTTCTCTACGCCTTAGCAACAGCATCACGACCATCTGATTTGGCCAGACTTGACTTAACTACAATTAAAAACACAATAAATGGAATAATGATTCAATGTCAAAATCCTAAAGAATCAAATATTGCAATAGGTTATGGTATAAACAAGAAACAATCCAAACAAGTATTT